GAGTTGAGGGGTCTTTCTAAGAATAATCTTTATATTTATATTGTTTATACATAAACATCCTACTGGCACAAGAAATAATTAAGATACAATGCAATTGCTGAATTCTAAGCTAATTCTAAATTTGGATGAAACATTTATTTTTGCATTTTGCCTGATTTAAACAGGAATTTTCACGAAACCCTCAAAACAGTTCATGTAGTTCTTGTGTTGTTACTCATTTCTAAAGATAGTCTTATAGGCATGCAATAAGGATGTGGATATTGATACGCGCACATCCTTTCTATCCAGTGAACATATCCATTCTATGGTATAAATACACTCAACCCATTTGCTATTAGATAGCGTCCTTTTTGGACCGCTTCGAGAGACACCACTCTAAAACAAGCCGTCCAATCAAACTACATTCATCATTCGAGACACATTGGTAGAAAAAGATGTATGTAGTAGCGATGTTCAAAATGTAATAGAGATATTTTTATATACCTAAGTGTGAAAGACTGAGAATTCACGAGTTTCAAAACTGATATTTCCACAGTAGTGACAGAAACGTGATTTGTTCACTGCAGTGAAAATGACCCTTTTGTCGGAACTACATGTAACGCAGTTACCAGCACATGCGCCTGTCACATGCGGCAGAAGCGAGGCTGCGGAACAGGTACATGTTCATGTTAACAGTGAAATGGTTTTTAACATCTAGTTAAAGATTTACTGGATAACAGTTCTTGTCATGTGATATTTGTTTGAAACGATTTATCAGTTATGCTTCAAATAAATTGGTGAGTGATCGTGCTTTTTGGTTTCATTCGTGGCCGTGTTTGTTTAAAATTTGATATTTTAGTGATCTTGTAAGTTAGATTAAATACCTCAAACAGAAAATGACCATTCATTAATTCAGAAGGTATGAAATAAAATATCAACAATATGTACATTTCATTATTTGATTATTAGCTTTAGTTATATAAATAACATTGGCACTTACCGGGTTTGTGTGCAGGAAGCTGTGTCTGAAAAGGTCAGTGTGTGTAGATTTTGCGTAATATTTGATATTTTCCTTTTCACATCACGATATGGGAGATGCATCAAATTCCACTAGACACATTGAATATTTCCTCATTATAATACACAGATGAGCCATTATAATACACAGATGAGCCATTATAATACACAGATGAGCCATTATAATACACAGATGAGCGAATGCATTGTGTGTGTTATGAACTCCTCTGTCTTTAACATTTTGCAAACCTTAAACGAAAACAGAGCTTTGGTGTCTCCACAGACTCGTCCTTGCCCTCCTCAGGGGGACATGGAGATGTCAAGTCTGTTCAGGTGGGCGTCTCTATCAGCAGCAGCACCAAGAATCAAAAGGCGTAGGCAAGACAAATGGATGAAAGCAGAGCCGAACAGGATCATTTGTGCGTTAAATCGTTACGCAGTTCATACAACAGGTCGAAATGTCCTACAGTTGTCACTCTTGGGTTTTCATATGGCAGCTTGGATACACATCTCTGTATTGAAGTAAGATTTCGTATTTGATATGAAAATTTCATATACCCATTAACACGTACATCATAGCCGATTAATTAGATAGTGTATGAAACATGTTGCTCTCATAATCAGCGAGATATTGTTATGCGTGTGTTGACAGGCTGATTAATGATAGCATTATATTTTAACCATTTACAGTCACCCATTTTTACATGAGCTACTAATATCCATAATTGACCTGAATGCATTTTAAATTTCCAAAAGTAAGTACGTATTGCCTGATGCTGCACAGCCGTACTCCTGTCATGCGATCTCAGCCTGTAAACATTCTTTGGTTAACATTCCTTCAAGGAACCGTAGCGCCTAAAATGTTTAAACAACCTTGTTTTGATAACCGTTTTTAAAAAGATATTCAAGAAGGCTACGCTTAACTGTGAGACCACTGTGAGAGTCGGCCCTACGTGATACAGCTGAAAAATATTCCCCGAGCCACTGCACCTCGCACTTTTAACGACTCGGGCTAAGAAATGCATGTCCTGGGGCTAGTTTACAACTTATACAGGACCAATTTGAGCACATTTATCAATCACCTGAATAATCCTTGCCCATGTTGATTGGCTTATTATGAGCAAAACAGATCACAATAAGAGTAATCTCATATCTGTTCGTTTCATTGAATGAAAAGCTACCTAATCACACGTCCGTACAATGAACAGAATACCATTAAGCTTTCTGCATAAAATATTTTAGCGTTCAAAAACGGGAATATATGGTACAAGTAAAAATGGAGAAATCCAACCGACATCATTTTTCTTACCCAAACTTCAAATTTGGAAATGCCATCCACATATACTACTGATGTCTTCTGTACAAAGCAGGATTTGATGCCCTAGTTGCAGCATTATCGCTACACCATCATCATAAGCATCATTTGGTGATGACAACCATATATACAAAACGTCATCGCCGGAGAATAGTCAGTCTCGATTATCTGCAGAAAAAAAACAGATTCCAGTGAGTGTGAAAGGCAAAAGGTGATGATAATGTTATGAATGGAACAGTGATAATCAGTGATGACACCAGGTGTTCTCGAATAGGTGAAGCATGACCTGCTTTACCGGTAGCATATAGCGACGTTTTGATGTAGGTTCTTACACCTTGACTACGACAAAATAATGTGAGGTACATGATATGTTGTGACAAGCAGCATATAACAGTAGCAACAGCTCATGAGTAACAAGTAGTGCACCCATTATTCTAGAAAGCGTGATGTACAGTCAGAGTAACAAATAGTCCACAGATAATGAAGGAAGATGTACAGTAAGGATTAACCCTTTGAAACAAGCTGATTGGATACTAATTAAAAAGAGTCTTTTGCTTGAAAATATCTTCATAGGCAGACAGGGTGTAATACCTTTGGTCTCTGTTGTTCAATTTGTGACATTTGATTTCTATGTCTTGAGATATTATTCTTTTTGTCAAGTCCTGGTGCTTGGCCTAGAGGGTTTGGACTTTGGGGAACTGAATTTGATGACTAGGGAACGTTCGCTATTGACAAGCTTAACTGCAAGTAAAAATGAGCATTTGCGTGATATTTCAATTCTGTACATGCACTTAATTCCCAAAGCAACTCGAAAATGTTGACGCTCGTGATGTTTATCACTGGACTGTCTGGTCAAGATTCGACTATTTACAGACCGCCGTTTTATAGCTGAAATATTGCTGAGTGCTGCGTTAAACCACAAACAAACAAACAAATTTAGCTTGCTATCATTTTTAATTTCCATGCATAAATCCATCTGCATATCTGTGCACAACTACATCCATCGATTCTCAAAAAGGTATTCGATATTCATGTCATATGTGTCCTTATGTAATTTCATCATATTCGTATGGTGATGATATTCTTCCTGACGATTGGTAATTGAACCAAAACACAAAGAGTTGTTAATAGCTCGATGTAAGAAGAATGCTGAAAAAATGCAAGTTATTATTATAGAGATTGTTTTTATACAGTCGAAGTAAGGATAAGATTTATGAATGAATAACTTCTTTATTACAAGAACTTCTAAATACCTATCAAAGAAATTTAATCAGTCTATTAGGGCATGAAATCAAGTACCAAACTCATGATTTTGTTGGTGAGTTCTACCTGTATACCAGGACATGCTTACCCTTTTGGCGATTTTCATTCGTTTTCAATGATCCCTTAATTCATGTTCACCAGTAATGTACCTGTTGGAGACAATGAAATCTGTTTGAGCGGGTAATGGAGGATGAATTTATCTGGCGTTGATGTTTTATATTAACAGTTTAGTAATCATCAGTATGTATATAAATAGATGTAAATATACACGCCCACTGTGATTATATGTCAGTTATAGTAATGCTTACTGTTTAATTTTGACCCGGGGTAGAATAGGTCTTCAGCAACCCATGCTTGCCGTAAAAGGCGACTAACGAGATCGGGTGGTAAGACTCGCTGACTTGGTTGATGCATGTCATCGTATCCCAATTTCGTGGATCGATGCTCATGATATTAATCATCGGATTGTCTGGTCTGGAATATTGCTGAGTGCGACGTTAAACAACAAACAAACAAAATACTGTTTAATTTTGATTTTTAAGGAATTGACCATAAATTACCGTTTCTTATCTTGGAATTTGTGAAAAAACAAGTTGCTGCACAAAGGTAAATAAAATCCTTCTTATTTCCTTCTTCGAAAATGCACAAAATAAGGGATTGCATTACTGGTGATCCCCAAATCATGTTGGGATTCATGACAACAACATCCACGTTGAGAGATGGAGATTATGTACAGTTTATCACGCTTGTGTGTTTGGGGATGGTAAATAACCTCTTTGTCATATATTGTCATTCTTCAATTCTGTGCTCGAAAAATCTCTTCCCATCTCTTACAAACATTACCTGAACATCGCAAGTTTTCCTTGAATGTTACGTCAGAAGGAAAGTGATGTGTCAGTCGGACAGTGACAATAGTCTCTATAGTTCCAACTCAAACCTGTTTCTAAAACAGTGGCGTAACTGCATATATGCTTGCCTTTCACGGCAATTCATCGGTCCGTCCCGTTGAGTGACGGTCCTTTGTAAAAGGGAAGTTAATCTAACCCTTGTCTATGAGACGTTACATTTCTTGCCAGACTGATTGTCCTATCATAACGTTAGAAAGTGCAGTCAGATGTTCACACAACGACAAAACGAAAAAAGAAACAGTTCGGATATATTTCGGCCACACCAACTGTTTTAATTTGGGAAAAAGGTTCAAAGCCGCAGAGGTCTACAAGCGCAGATATGGAAACTGAACTGAATATGAATTGAATATGATCATCATATTGATGAAATGGCGTGTGCCTTTCAAGTAACAGATGGAGGTGTTATCAAACACCTTTATTGGGCACCGTGCACGATTCGATTCCGACGGTAGTTCCATTAGGTCATATATTTCATTTTACAACATTATTAATGGTGATGTTGGGTGATAAGCGTGTATTTTAACTTCATATTTGCATCCTTGACGTGTATATATAAACACGTGGACTTAAATGAATATATACCTGCCAACAGAAATCATCCAACACTGCCACAGACTGAAAAAGGTAATTGACATTCCTATTTAGCTATCAATTATTTCTTCTTTTTTCGGTGCATAGAGGCAATAAGCCATCTATACATGAATAGAGATTGTATATCATATGTATTTAACATTCGAAGATACGAGGATTACTATATTAGTCTCCCAAACCCTAGAGAATAAATGACAAGATTCCAGAAATTTCATCAGATGTGCAGATTTGGTTAGTCCCTGAAACTAAGCACTGTTGTGGCAACCATTATTTCTGGGAATGTATGTTAGTCTAATCGTATCTGTCATGTAATGGATAGAGTGTCTGCCTGGGGAGCATAAGGCCGGTGGTTCCGTCTTATGGTCGCGTCATGCCACATGACTTTAAAATATGGTACTTATTTTTACCCTGCCTGGCGCTCTGCATGAAGGGGAAAAATAAGACTGGCTGCTAATTCAGTGTACCGTGTGGGATACGCATATATGCATATAAAATCTGCAGGATGGTTTCAGTGGGAAAGAACAATTAAAACCTCATACGTCCGGACAAGAACAGGCAGCATTGTCGCAAAGACCTAACATTTTACGTGTGTATTTTACATTTTTAGGAATATATGGCTCAGACATTACAAGTAGATGCAGCCGATACGTTATGTTCCATATTGCTTAAAACATATAAATGACAAATTACCCAAATGGTATTATTTGATATGCAGGTATTTGCATTTAACTGCCACATGAACTCACCAAGGCGTACCTATTCCCTATGTTTACATTCATTAAAACCCAAAGGTTTTTGACCATATAGAAGCAAAAGAGAGATTTCACACAAAATATATTGTAAAAATGGACAATGGGAATGAATAACGTTTCGTAATGAAAACCTCCTCAGCTTACAATGCTAAAATATCAAAAGATTTCGACCATTTCAGTCTGTTTTGAACCTTGCATTTTTTCGTTCACAAAGCTAAAATATGTTGTTTATATCAAGACACATTGTGAGGCATCATGTTAAATAAACGCATATACTATCGTGCACCAAATTTACACCTTCACTCTTATCCTAGGAAACTGATTACAATCAATAACTTTTGTTATGATGCTCGATTTGTCTGTCACAATCTCAGCAGTTGCTCATTCAGAGGGTGAATTTCTTTCGATATTGATTATTTTAGAATAATATGATGTCGTTTTTACTGTCAATGTTATTTATTAATATAGCATATATATAGCACCACTTGCATTAAGACACCCTTGGGATAATATTGCGTTTGTGCCAATGGACTCTCCAAACATTAAGCGCTCATTGCTGTTATGGCTGTGGGTGTTCTGGCCCCAAATCTCCTGAAAAAGAAATTATTCACTGTCGATAAATGAGGACAACAATTGTGACATTTTAGAAAGTGGTATTCGAAATATTGCTTGAACGTTTCATTATGCGTATTATCTACAAAATTAGCACGTGACCTGTCCGTTGATGCTAGAAAATGACAATTCTGATCAGAACATGAGTACCTGTGACGAGATTGTGAAAGGGCAATTATCACTTATAATTATTCCAGTTTGCCTCACGGAATCCTGAGACAGTATATAACGACTCGCTGTAATTAACAATGCTCCTATTCGTCGCTGGTTTGATCACCATGGTGTGTCTCCCCCTGTCCGTTCTCGGCGCTTCCGATGATAGAGATGCTCTTATATACAAAGTGGAAATCTTCCTTCCCCCCAAAGAGGGAAGAGACGAGACTGCGGACATACAGCAGATTAAGGAGACGGTGGAACGTCTAAATGACATTGATGTTCTCTTTTCATTTAAGGTCTGTACAATTGTGTTACTAAAAAGACATGCACACATTCATCAAAAATGCATAGCACATAGGCGATCACCAAGTTCTTAGAATTATGTATCCCTTATATAACAATACATACCAAGGACAGCATATCTACATCTCTGGAGATCTGCAAACTGACACTCAAAATTAAGTGGTTTTGATAGGGTTAAAGGGTTGTATAATTTGAATCGAAGAGTCCACGGCACTAATTATTAAATCATGAAGACATAATTTACTTGATCCTTCAGATGTGCATAGCCATACATATTGCATACACATATGTCTATATGAAATAATGAAACGTTACTTAAATAAAGTCGCACAAAACGGGAATTCCATGACATATGTTTGTAATTTCTGGATAAAAAAATAGGTCATTGAAAATACATACAATTGAACAAAAGTAATATGTGCTGAAAATAAGTCGCATGTATTTCTTATTTTATTTTTTTTGAGCAGGAACTCGGGAATCCAAGGATTATTCTTAGTAAGTCAACTTAACAATGTTCTTTAGTTATCATTTTATATTTTGAACGGTTCGTATTTCATTCGGTATTCCTTATTCCTTGGGATATTTTCACTGAACTTAACACCATTCAAGGTCTTAGTACAAGCCTAAAACAGTTGTATGATATACACCTGGAAGTCATCCAAAATTGAAGTCATCAGTGACGCAAACACAATGTCTGAATCAATTCCCTATTTTGACTATGACGTGTTCCCCTTCTTTATACCTCTACTGTGGTGGTTAGTATACTTGGAAATTTGGGTACGAATTATTAACAAATGACATATATTTTAGTTATTCAATATGTTTTTATGTGCTTCTTTCAAAAAGGCTGAGTGATGCTATTGTTCATCCTCTCATGTTGGGACTCACAGAGACAATATCTTGATTTGTCCTTTTATTTGGCAAACTGCTGGAAATATGATTTCTATAAACTATCTCACTTACATGTTATATATATTCAGGTATTGACAACACCAGTCATACTGCATGTGACTGTAAATGCAGTTGGACGTTCAGAGAAAGATATATTGTGTTCATGTAAGTGGAACATATCATTCATCCACACATGACTTAATGATAAGACATTCTTCTTCAAAATATATTTTTATTGCATGCGTTTTAGTTCTTGACGTTGAGAAAGCATGCAGTTGGCCTCAACTGACAGGCTTTCTGTCAAGCCAGGGATATGAGTTCAGCGTCACATCCCTCTACGACTGCAGTGACTTCGCCAAGGAGCTTGGTCTCAACCTGCCCAACGACATGTGGGCATCATCGTTCGGGAATGATGACCTAATCATGGACAAGGAGATATTCCCCGTGAAAGGTAAATACTACATTCCTGACGAAGTGCAAGATGATTAACCAGCTTGATAGAGTATCACCTTGAGGTTATCTGCATGGTGTCAGTGTTGCTGAAAAAAGTGTAATCGGAGAATCAAGGATATATTACAACATGGTCGTGAGCAAATAACCTCTTTAAGGTCGATCCTAATAACAAATTAACAACTGAAATGCATGATTCTGAATATGAAGGACCGAAGAGATGTTGCAATATTCAGATTTATATGATTGATAAGTTCTGCAGTGGTAATTAACAGCTTATTGACCGATATATTAGTGAATGTACACACCAAAAGGACTTACTACGTATTCGGTGTCAATTTCGTTGTTTGTCACAGAGGTTAAAAGTACAGAAAAGTAGTAATAGTCCGAATGGTGACAGATGTGAAGCAATCTATTCTAAATTTAAATAATCTGAAACGAATGTCGAATACCAGACTGAGTGCTGAATGCGCAAAGTACAAAAAGTAGAACAAATATGTCCCAACCTATTACTATGTATATCTAACAAAACATGAAACTTCATCCCTTCTAAAATGTAGTGATGCATAACACAATTGGACCATGCACATACACATACTGTGTAACACCCTTTCCATAAATAAATAAGAAGAAGAAGCCACAAGAATTTACAATTGAAATATTATTTCAAGTGAAACAAAATTATCACATGATGGTGTGAAAAAATAAAATCGGCATTGGCCAAACTTGGTTGTGGCTATTGTGATTTTAAGTTGCATCAAGTGCTATTGAATGAAACCAAAAGAATATATTTACACATTTTTCTTACATTTACTAACGTAGACAGAAATATCCCAATTCTTCATTACTGCTGAATTGCTGCTGTGTTCCCCACACGGGGTGATGGGACGTCCTAGTGAATAAGGCGTCGGATCGCCACGCCGAAGACCAGGGTTCTATTCCCCACATGGATACAATGTGGGAAGCCCATTTTCCAGCTTCGCCCGTCGTGATATTGCTGGAATACTTATGAATTGTTCACCACACCTTGTTATTAAATGTTACAAAATTTCTTCTGAACGCAGAGTCCATTCTGAGATTCTTACTACATCATAAGCGTGTGTTTGTGAATCCCTATTAAATAATGATAAGAAAACCAAGAAAACTTTCAATCAATAAACTAACGAAATATTTCAATAGTCTTTAACCAATCATGAATTACCTCATCAACCATCATGTCCATTCCAGACTTGTCAACACTTGAGTACAATGAAAAGCTGAAGTGGATATTCGAGGAAGATTTAGCCCTTCATAAAAACGGTCAGCCAGCGGTATGTTTCAAAACTCTCGCAGAGTTTCCGGTTGAGGTAATAATAAGAATCTTCGTTCGGTGTCTTACTTTTTCTCCAAGGAACTTCAAAAATATACAAATGTGACATATCAATGGATAATTAACGCTCTCAGTTGTTATTCTGTTCTCTTAATTATTTATTTATTAGAATAACTACCACGAACAAGGGTCTTCACTATCTCAGAACTCAGAACTTTAACAACTGTATTGTCGTTTCATGTTATGGGATTTTAGTATATTTTTAAAAGATAATGTGACAGTGGCATGCATTGTAGAACGTGATAAGTTGTGTCACAGCAGCGTAAGGAAGTTACATCGAACGTAATCGATAGAAATTTGACGAATCACATTGACGTCATGCTTATTCTGGTTTGGCAAAGGACTGCAGGTTGTCTCCACAACAATATATGTATTGATGTTTATTGCAGTAAACAAAATGTTCATAGTTTATTAGTAATGATCACATTTCAAATCATTTCAGCTGGTGTACTTCGCCCCGGTGAAACAAAGCAAGTCAGAAGCAATTGTAGACGCATTGCATGGACCTAATAACTTTCACAATGAAGTCACACGCATAGAAAACCTTGATTATTACACAGGAGTGTGCCAAGGAGACTAAAGTGATGTGAAAACTGTAACTGAACAGATGTTTTAAACACTGTTTAGAACACATGCCTACGATGAAGATGCGCAACTAACGCATTGTATTTTACTGAATAAAAATGTTCATGTCATCTGTGTCAGGATGATGCATCAAATTTGGACAAGCATTCAAATAACAAATAGTTAGTTTGAGTTCGTTTCCGTTTGAGCTGGAGCACATGGTGATGACACATGGTGATTTACTTGACCGTGACGCAACAGTACGGGAAATCAGCAAGTGTCATTACCGGATAAGATCCACACCTTCGTATCCTATTCTTGTTGCCAAGTAGCAGTCATGTAGCTGTAACATTACTGAGTGTGACAACAAACAACAAACATCTTGTCGCTGTATGATTTATATGTTTCATAATCTTGCATTCACTCACAGACAGTCAACCAATCGTTGACGAATTTAATTACAGATGATATATCACCGTTTGTATGGCCATCATATGATGAGCGATTTGGGTTTAACTCCGCTTTTAAGATTATTCCGGTTACATGTCAGCTGGATTGGGGTTGAAATTCCGACGTGATGCAGGTTATAGGCGTTCAGGAACAGGTGATCCTTTTGCCCAACACACCACTTCGACCCTTACTTCACCTAGGCGCTCGGTAGAATTGGCCCGTTTCTATCATTGGTTGGTTGGTTGGTTTGTTGTTTAACGCCGCACTCAGCAATATTCCAACTATATGACGGCGGTCTGTAAATAATCGAGTCTGGACCAGTGATTGATATCATGAGCATCAATCTACGCATTTGGGATCGATGACATGCATAAACCAAGTCAGCGAGCCTGACCACCCGACCCCGTTAGTCGCCTTTTACCTTTGTGCAGCAGCTTCTTTTTTACAAATTCAAAGATAAGAAACGGTAATTTATGGTCAATAGTCGTTAGTCGCCTTTTACGACAAGCATAGTCACCTTTTACGGCAAGCATGGGTTGCTGAAGACCTATTGTACCCCGGAATCTTCACGGGTCTCCGTTTCTATCAATCGGCTGGTCACGCCATGCCCTGTGCATGGAATACTTGAATGGAATAATTTCGAAATATATCAAACTATTTCCGATCAAGATATTTAATTACTTGACTGTGTTTATTTCAATTTTGCCTAGAGTCCTATGCCAGAAGGCGGTGGCTCATGGGCCAATCTGGTTGTATGGACCGCTGAATTCTGTGTTTTTATTGGAAAATGCCATGGACCGAACCAGCCTGACATTTCTCTTTTAATAACATCAGCTATTCACGTCTATATTTCTGGAGTATAGCATTCCTGTAACCCTGATGTTGCAGACTGGTTTCCACTGCAACATCGTCCTTGATGACACTCGATGGCGGGTGGGGAGCAGAAATGCTGAACAATCTACTCATATCATGGCTACCAACACACCCACTGGTTCATCGAAAGCTAATAAAAGAAGGCACCTTTCTTCGTCATCTGATGAGGAATTATCTCCAATAATTTTAGAATCTTGGCCACGATTTTTAGTCATTTCAAACATAGATGATAGTCCTTTAAAACTAAACCCGTTTGCGATCTCCAAGGGTATCCAAAGTGCCTGTGGGGAGGTTAAGAACGTCACACGTCACCGCGGTGGATCAATCCTTGTGGAATGTGCACGGAGACAGCAATCCGTCAATCTGTTGGGCCTCCAGCAATACACGGGTTCTTGTCTCAGCGCACAAGACACTGAACTCTAGTAGGGGCATCGTTCGAGATCGACCTCGCTGTCTGTCAGATATGACAGAAGAAGAGATCAAAACTGAATTAAAACCTCAAGGTGTCACCGCAGTTGAGCAGTTTACTAGAAAATTATCAAAATCCAAACTTACTTTTTCACTTTTGCTCTCACAACCAAATTCCATAAAAGCAGGTTACTTTAACATTGGAGTCGAGGTCTATGTTCCAAATCCACTCAGATGTTACAAGTGTCAAAAATTTGGTAACGGTGCCAAAACTTGCACTAACATGGCAAGGTGCTTCCGTTGCAGTGAAACTCATGAGAGTTCAGACTGCACAAATGAGATCCGGTGTGCCAACTGCAACGGGGTGCAAATGCGTTTGCATTGAGAAATCACACAGCGTTAACTGTCGCCGACATATTAGTGTCTGAGGTGATCTGTAGATTTGGATGATCACACCGATCAGGGGAGAGAGTTCGAGTCTCATTTATTCAAAGAAGTGTGTCATTTGTTAGGGATTGATAAAACCAGAACTACCCCTTATAGACCTCAATCAGACGGGTTAGTTGAACGCTTCAATAGGACCTTAAAACAGATGCTCAGCATTCATTCTGATCAAGAACCCTTAGATTGGGACGACCATCTACCATACTTACTTATGGCGTATAGAGCCTCCGAGCACAAGAGCACTCACTGCTCACCCAACCTAATGATGTCTACCTATAGATCTCATGGTGGGTACCCCACCTGCAACTGATTGTGACCGTTGCCCTAGTGAATATGTGAAATGGTTGAGGGGGACCACGCAAGGCATATTTCAGTTTGCAAATGACCAGCTAGGTAGAGCCGCTCAATTACAAAAGAGAAACTATGACCACAAGTTGAAGGTAAGATCTTATGAAGGAGGCTCCTTTGTTTGGCGATGGTATCCGCCTAAGGCCAATCAGAAGTTAGGGTTGGGATGGGATGGGCCCTATGTGGTAGTAGGCCAGCTGTCCCCTACAACATATCGAATCCAGAGGAGTCAGGGGAGGCCAGTTATCAGCATCCATGTTGATCAACTAAAACCATTTGAGGGTTCTCCATGTCCAAGGAATTGGTTGAATCAACCAGAGGATGACCCCGCTGCTGCGGAGGTCCAAGACCTCACATTTGCGGATATGGAGGGATCCTATTCAGAGGGGGGAGTAAGGACTCCAGTCGCTGTGAGAACTCGTGCGGGGAGGACTATGAAACCGCGGATAAGGTTTAGTCCGAGTTAGATAGGAGGGGGGTGGTATTCAGTGATATGTAAATAGTTCCATTGTTGTTTGATCGTGTTGTTTGTTGTTGTTTGGGGGATTTTTTAAGGGTGTTCCTGATGGGCAAACTTTACCACTATATTTTTCACTGGGAATCGATCTGCTTTTCAAGTTCTGCTTTCAGATGGAACTGCAAATAAACGTCAGCTAGGCTGAAATGGCCGATTTTACGGAACAAGAACGGCCTATCTGGCCGAACGAGGGAATGACTTGTGCCGTGGAGGGATGTGATACGATACACTTTACGAAATACCGGCAGATGGTGGACCATTTGGTCCGGGCACACCGCCCAAAGCATAATCTCAGGGAGTGCACCACCTGCCGAAAGGTATTCCAACACATGCCAGAGGCGGAAAGGCATGCTAAGACCCATTCACTGCCACTATAGTCCAGAGGAGGAACCGCCAGTTCCATGACCCTGGAGACTTCCTCGGAGAGACCCTGTTTCAGGGTCTAGAAGTGTAGAACGGGATCAGGCTGCCCAATCACGATCGGCACAACCCAAACGACGCCTGAGCCTGGCGGCTCAGGAGGTAGAAAACAAGGAGACACTGGCAAACTTCTCAAGTGATTGAGAAATCCATGTATCGCATTATTGTCGCATTTCTTCGCATTTTGTTGATACTGTTTGTGCCTAAATCCTGTTATTTATTTTTAATTTTTATTATTTTTGATATACTCCACGGGTTTTTCTATTTATTTACACTAGATGATTTATTTAGATTTGTTTTGTTTTGTTTTTGTATTTTTGAAGGGGGTCGAAGGGGGTTATTGTGGATAAATATATATATTTAAGAACGTAGTGGGTGGGTTAGTTTAAGGGTGAGTTGAACGGCTGACGTAGTACCTATCTTTGTAGTCCTTGCGTAGAAGCTTATGCCACACGGGCGTAGTGGCTGGGAAGACGTGACGATGCCACGCTTCTTGCATGCTGGGCTAGGCGGAAGGCATGATTGAGAGAGCCGAGATGTAAGGAGCGTGTTCATTGGTTGTGTCCGTTTTCCTGGTCACCTGGTCCACGTGTTCGCTTTATAAGCCTACCCTGGGTGGGGAATCGTCAGTCGTCACTCACCAGTATCTGGTAAGCACGGTCGACTTTCGCGTCCTGAACCAGGATCATTCATTATTATTTTAGGGCTTTCGTTGAGGTATTAGATTAAAATGTATGGGCGGGGGAAAAGTAGAGTAGGGATTAAATAGGTTTGTTTTATAGACGCTTTACTTTTGGGAGTTCAGTTAGAGGGGTGGTTAAGAGTACAAGTTTAAGTTATAAGGTTGAATAGGTTTAGGTTTACGTAGGTAGGGAAGGGGGAAAATTAAGTAGGGTATAGATAAGAGAAGGATTTTGCCCCTGTTGTTTTTTTCCTGTTAAATAAACTTTATATCCAACGTCATTCTTTGTGTTTTGTTTATAATTAGAATTGGTTACCCGGTCTGGAGCCTCCTAGAACGTAGAGACAAAAGAATACTGCACAGGGAGAGGAGAACACAACGCAAAATACCACAGTATAACATCTGACCTTTTGTCAACTATCTCTATAAGTCTACTGTCACTGGGCGCCTTTTACAGGCTTTGGAGGGCGCCTATTACATATATTTGTCTTCTGTTATTGTTTTCAGTTGCTATTATAAAGAGCCTTCCACCCTATGGGAAGGTGAACACATTTTCTCATATATGGAGTGTCCTGCTCACTCAACAAAACGTTGCACCTCAAAGAGTTCCATCTTAAACCGGTCATGGTAGAATGGCTACGCGTTCGGTTTCAAATTCAATTTAGCGCGGTTAAATCTACAGGTAACGTAGCTCTACATTGAAAACACAGTAGGTTTATCTCCTAATTCAATCACACAGCTCACACAACAAAAGACGTTCACTCCTGACCCAAGCAATCTTACTTAACACCTCTAAAGCTCACAGCTTACATACAGTCCAACCACACTCTTACACATACAATCAAACCAACTTCAGAGAAATATATACACTGTGATCTTTACAGTCATATAATGTCATTCTTCAATTCTGGGCTCGAAACATCTCTTCCCATCTCTCACAATTATTACCTAAACATCGAAGTTTTCCTTGAATGTGCGCATTTAGATATAATACGTCAGAAGGTAAGGGATGTGTCAGTGGACAGTGACAACAGTCTT